TCACCTGGGTGAGTGCAGAGGCCTCTCGGAGGGGTCTCCTGGCTCTCCCTTGCCCCTCAGTCTGCTCTCCAGACAGCAGCAGGAAGCCTGTGGAAGCTGAGCCGGATCACGTCTGGCCTCTGCACCGAGCCTCTCCTCTCCTCTGGGGGAAAGTCCAAGTCCTTTCAGGGGATGATGGGCCTCACTCTCTGCCCCTCCCATGCTCACTCTGTGCCAGCCACACAGGTCCCTGTCTTGTCTTCTTGTGGATGGACATGGCTTCAGTCATCTGCTGCTGTGTAACAAAGTGCCCCAAAGCTGAATGGTTTAAACCAGCGGTGATAGATTATTCCTCATGATTCTGCGAACTGGCTGCTCCACGTGGCACCAGCTAGTCCCCCATGCAATGGCGTCAGCAGGAAGCTGGAGTCACTCTGGCGCCTCGGCTCTCTCTTCATGTGGCCTCCCATCACCCATAGGCCAGCCGAGCTTCTTCACACGCAGCCGCCTTCCAAGAGCGCAGAAATGGAAGCCGCAAGCCCTCTTCCAGCCAAGCCCGCGAGCCCACAATGTCACTTCCGCTGCATTCTGTTGGTCCGTGCAAGTCCCAGGGCCAGCCCAGACTTAGAGGAGGGGACTAGACCCCACCTCTTGCCGGGGTGCGCATTAGAGGCACACTGAAAACGGGGGTACAGCTGAGAGGGGCTTGTGCAACCACACCCACTCTACCCGACTGCACCATCTAGCACAGTAGACATTCTCCTTGTTTGATTGCTGTCTGTCTGTCTTGCCTCCCCAAAATGCAACAAAGGCAGCAAAATTCTGCATGTCTTGTATGCTGTACCCACCGCGCTTACAACAGAGCTTGGCGCACAACACAATTTTGTTGAATGAATTGTTGCGAGGATGCTCGGAAGTCAGACAGCCAGTGTTTAACTCGTAGTTATGCCTCTGTGTGCTGTAACCCTGGAAATAGTACTTTAGCTCTAACCCTCAGTTTCTCTCTCTCTAAGATAGGAAAAATGACAATACAGGCATACCTCGCTTTATTGCACTTCACGGATACTGCGTTTTCTACAAGACCCTCCACCAGCAAAAAGATTACGATTCGCTGAAGGCTCAGATGATGGTTAGCATTTTTTTAGCAATGAAGTATTTTTTTATTAAGATACATACATTGTTTTCAGACATAATGCTATTGCACACTTAATAAACTACAGTATAGTGTAAACATAAATTTTATACGCACTGGGAAAGCAAAAAATTCATGTGACTCACTTTATTGTGATATTTGCCTTATTGTGGTGGTCTGGAACCAAACCCATAATATCTCTGAGGTGTGCCTGTAGTACCAATTCTATACAATTGAGAAGAGAAGAAAAATATAACAATTAATTAGCACAGTGCTTTGGCCTATACCAAGCCTTCCACGTCAGCAGTTGTACTGACAAGCATGCCCCCCCCCACTGCACCCAGATGCCACCCCCTTCCATCTCCATGGCACCCTGCCCATGGACACCCTCTTGAGCTGCCACCTCAGGGACGGATGGCCTGTGACCTTGACCTGCCCACGTCCTGAGGCAGCCAGCTGCCCCCCCGTCTGACCTCTCCAGACCCTCCACCCCCTGGGCCACCGTCCATGACAACCTTGAGCATTCAGCCAAACTTTCCAGCCCAGGACTCTCCTTAAAGCCAGTAACTGGAACTCCTTGTGGTCCTATCTGTGTTTCATTTTGATGATGACAGTAGTAAATGGGAAAATATCTAAATAAATGACATTGGGTTTGTTTGTTCAAGAATGTAATATTCTGCCCTCATATAAATGGAATAATCTGTGGTGGAAAGAGTGGACAACTTTGTCAATTTGCAATGGAGTTTAGGTCAGCAAACACCCCTCTTCTCGTAAGCCTTTGGGACCCCTTAGCCCTTCCCCCATTGCCAACCGTGAGCCAGGGCTGGTTGGACAAATGAACCCAAAGAGCCTTCTTTTTAAGGACCCATCTCTTCTCCATCATTCTCAGGCCAAATCCCCATGGCAGGAAGCAGTCAGGCTTCTTCTCCACCCCTCTGGTCCAGTCTCCCCACTCCAGATGCTGCCCCAGGCCCCCATTCCCCTCACCTCTTTCTTCTATAGAGCCTGTCTGTGTCCCTCCAAAATTCACATGTTGGAATCCTGACGCCCAAAGTGCTGGTGTTAGGAGGTGGGCCTTTGGGAGGTGATTAGGTCACGAGGGTGGCGCCCCCCTGGATGGGATTAGTGCCGACGTGTGAGGACACAGCAAGACCCCGTCTGTAACTCACGAGAGAGCCCTCACCAACACGGACTCTGCTGGCACCTGATCTTACACTTCTGGCCTCCAGAACTGTGAGAAGTAAGTTTCTGTTGTTTAAGCCGACCAGTCTGTGGTATTTTGTTATGTCAGCCTGAGCTGACCGATAGACCAGGTAACCCAAACCCACAGTGGTGTGGTGGATAGTTCAGGAAGGCCCAGGGCCAGCACCAGAGGCCACAGCATCCGGGCCAGCGGCCCTCAGGAGCTCCAGTCCAGCAGCATCAGCAGTCTGACCACACGCTTTCTGGAATGTTGCTGGCAAGCAGCCTGCAGGAGACACGACCCGACGGGGGGCAGGCCCCAGAGCTAGGGCAGAGTCCTGGATGCACAGGCCAAGGATAGGCACGACGGCGCTGAAGTGAACCTCAAAGAAGGCGCTCTGCTGGGAGGTTTTGCAAAGGTCATGAGGACTGAAAAATCACCCCCGGGGACTTCTTCCATCTGGAAGTAGGAACAGGAAACAGCTCAATGAGATTTATCTTGGAAAAATCCAAGCTCATACACCGGGGTAAAACTAACCCAAAACACAGCATGAGACAGCCACAGCGCACACTCAGGGCAGCTGAAAGCGCCCAGCCAGGAGGTCATCTGTGCAGCCTGACTTTTTAGGGGGTGATCTCAGCGTGGGGAGCAAGTGGCTGGGGACCTCGGCATCTGGGAACCCCAAGCCGGGTTTTCTGGAAATAGAAGGCTGAACTTTCTGCTTCCCAGCTGGCTGAGCAGTGAGCTGGTGGTCCAGGGAGAGGAGGAGAGGAAAACACCACCCAACAAGGCCATGGCCTTGCCCACTGGTGCCCAGGCCTCCACTCCGTGGACACTGAGGGCCACCCGCCCCCCCGCAAAACCTCCCTGGGCCTGTGGAAGGCTCTGTGTCCCTCATTTTTGCAAGATGCCCAGCGTTTTAAGTATTCAGGTGTGATGGGTATTAAAAGCTGCCTCTGCCTCCCCAGGAGGGAACACAGGTGCCCTGGCCAGCAGGGACAGAGGACATTAAGAGGAAAGGAAATGGTTTTAAGAGATAGACGGCTGTTCCCTGAGGAGAGGCAGGACCTACAGAGGGGGAACTAGGCTCTGACCCCTTATGGAGGCCTGGGGAGCTCCCCCTTCCCTGCTGGCAGGAGGAGAAATGAGCACAGGGAGATGAGAGAGGGGCCACAACCCAGGCCTCCTGGCTGCGGATTATGTGTCCTGGGACCCGGGAGGGCAGGCTGGGAAGAGGAGGCCTGGGCTGAGGCACCTGCCTCCTCAGCCCTGGGCCCACTGCACGTGATAGAGAAAGGATGCAGGGGGCGAAGGTGGAGGAGAGGGCTGGGAACAGGGGTCACACCTGGCCTGCCCCATCTGTTCATCTGAGCACAGCTACGCTGCTGCAACAAAGATTCCAAACCACAGTGCCTGAAATAAGAGAGACGCACAGGAACACTCGATGTTGTCCAGTCGGCTTTCCCAGCTTGATCTAGAGATTCAACACAATCCTAATCTTGGAAAAGGAATTGCTGGGTGTGATTTTTCTTTTCGTTTTGTTGGATATGGTTGCCAAATTGGCTTCCAAAAGTCCCTCCTCCAAATTGCCAATTCCCTCACGCCTTCAACATGTGTGATGAATTTTTTAAACGTTTGATAATGCGACAGGTGAAGATATTCTCATTTAAATTTGCACTTCTGTAATGAGTGGATAGGTCAGGGAATCTGGTGTAAGTCTGAGCAGTATTTCTTCTGTGAACTGCCTACTGGTGTTCTTGCCAATTTTTCCATTAGATCATTGTCTTTTTCTTTTTTATTTGGTCAATTTCATAATTACAGGAATTAGACTTAATTTCAAAATGTGTCATACACTTTTTCTCCAGTTTGCCTTTTAATTTTAATTTGTATGTAGTCGTTATCATTCTTTTCCTTCGGTCTCTCCAGGTTTATTGTGATAATTTAGACTATAAAACATTCATTGACTTTCCAGTACATTTTTGTTTCTCTTTTAGATTTGAATGTTTGATCCATCTGGATTTTATTTCGGTGTTAAGCAGTGAGGGAGGGAGCCAGCTTCTATTTTTCCAAATGGCCAGCCAACTGCCCTAACGCCATTCGACCGAAAAACCTTTCCAGGAGCTGGAAGCGGCCGCTCCACGCGCACGTTCCAAGCTCGCGCATCTGTCCCGCTCCGCCGTTCGGGACCCCGCCCGCCCCGCGGCTCCAGTGCGGTCTGCACGGCCAGAGTGGGTAGCCGGCAGGGACTGGGGCCAGTCCCCCCACTCCCCCACCGAGGATGGACGCCCTTTTCCCCGCCTCCCGAGAACGAATCCCTCGAGTCTCCGTCCGTCGAGGACCCACCCCAACCTCCCGCCTCCTCCCTCCACGGCCCCGCCCCCCCCGCGTCTCTCCCTGCAGCGGCCCCAGGACCCTGACCCGGCTCTCCGCGAGAGGAATTGAACTAAACGGCGCGTCCTCCGGTGTATCTGCACAGAGGCGGGGCGTCAGGCGCCGAGCGGCCGGGGCACCCAACCCGGTGGGAGCCGGGACCTTCACCGCGGGCCGAGCGGCCGAGGGGCGGGGCCTGCCTCACGGTGGAGCCGGGCCACTTCCCCTTCCAGTCGGCTTCCGGCCGCCTTTCTTCCGATTTCCGCCCTCCTTCCTTCCGGCCCCCGCCCGCCCTCCCCCTGCCTCCGGCGGGCGCCTCCTGCGGCCGGCGCCCCGATGCTCCCGAGACGGCGGCGAGCGCGGGTCGGGTCCCCGGGGGCCGCCGCCCCCTCCGCGGCGCGCTTCCCCGGCGTGGCCATCTACTTGGCCGAGCCGCGCATGGGCCGCAGCCGCCGGGCTTTCCTCACGCGCCTGGCGCTCTCCAAGGGCTTCTGCGTCCTGGACGCCTACAGGTGCGTGGTCGTGGCGAAGCTCGGGGCTCGGCGGGGCCGCCTTCCCGGGGACACCTTCCTCGGGGTCTGGGGGTGGGTGCGGCACCCACAGCCCCGCCTCACGGGGGAGCGAGGGACACCCGTGTCGGCGTCGCCATGCCCTCGTGCCCGGTGGCCCGGAGGACACCGCTGCGTGATGTGCCGGCTTAAGCACGAAATGCCCGTGCTGGGAACTCGGCAGCTGACAGCCGCTTTCACCTGCGGTGTTTCTTTACAGCTGAGGATATTGAGATCTGAAACGGCTCGCACGGCTGGCCCTGGGGCGGAGGGGCGCCGCAGGTTTTTGGATTCCAAGTTAGCCCTGGCACTTAAAGGTCATATGGCCTTTCTCTCCATTTCCTCCTTTGTAAGAGGTGCTAACAGTATTCAGAAATAGGACAACGAGAGAATGTATGCCAGAGGGGGTGTAAGGAGCCCGGTGGGTTGGTTGACAGTATCATTGGCTAACAGCCTCTGTCTTAGGTGAATTCATCTTGCCCTGTTAGCCAAACTGACCTCTCCTCTCCCTTCCAGGCTGAGAAAGTGACTTGAGTTTGACTTCAAGAGGAGCAAAAAATAGCGGCCACAGAGGTCATGCTGAGAGTAAGGGAGCTAGGTTCCCATAGTTTTGAAGTTGAAAGAGCAAATGAGTCAGGGGCCAGTCCCCCTGCAGCCTTTTTTTTTTTTTTTTTTTTTTTTTAATGTAATTAACATTCCCAGGGGTGTGCTGGACCCACTCAGGAGAGGACCGTGATGGCAGCTTCCTGTGTGCTGGGCACTATCTCAGCCCTTTTGCTTATTAGCTCCTTTAATCTTTACCACACCCTACAAAGTAGATAAGTTATTTTCTCTGCTTTACAGAGGAGGAAATCAAAGTATAGAGAAGTGAGTGCTGTGCCCAAGAGCACACAGCAAGTGTGTGGCAGAGCTGAGTTTCAAACCCAAGCATTCTGGCTCCAGCACCTAGATGAAGACCTCCTGCTCCTGGCCCCTAAGGAACTCCTTTCTCTGGGGTGGGGGAAGAGGGAGACAGACAACCAAAATCGGGCTGGGTTTGTGATGGTAGCTAGAGCAGAGAAGCACAGCTCTGCAGGTGCCGGAGGGTGGAGGTGTTCGTCTGCCAGGAGAAGGGGTCGGGAAGTCTTTCTGAGGAAGTGACATTTGAAGAATGAATAGGTGCTTACCAGGCAGAGGGGACAGTAAGAGCAAGGCTTGGAGGTACGGAGCAAGTATGAAGGACGTGGGCCTGGGAAAGGGCTCCGGGCCTCACCCCTCCCCACTCTCTGGCCAGCCCTGAGGTGACACATGTGGTGATGGAGCAGACTTCAGCAGAGGAGGCCATCTGCTGGCAGGAGCGCATGGCAATGGCCCCTCCCCCAGGTTGCACTCACCCAGCGCTGCTGGACATAAGCTGGTTCACAGAGAGCATGGCAGCTGGGCAGCCTGTACCTGTGGAGTGCCGGCACCGCCTGGAGGTGAGCCAGCTGGAGAATTACGGGAGGGGCCGCAGAGAAAGCCCCAGTGCAGGCCACAGCTCAGCTGGGACGGGTGACGTGGCAGCAGTGCCTCAGTGTCCTTCAGATGAGGTGGGCAGTGAGAGCTCTGCCCAGACCACCAGGGGGCCAGGCCATCCCAGCTTCTGCTCTCATCAGTGGTGTACATTCTCATGGGGTCAACTCATTTTTAGCTTCTTTAGGCGTTTCTTGCTCACCAAGTAGATGAGAGGGCCAGCAGGAGGCTGTCCCAGGGTGCTGTGAGGTTCACGGCCTCTGCCACACGTCAGTGCTTCCTGGTGAGCAGAGGTGGGGGATGCAGGCAAGGGCTCAGAGCCAGGCTGCCCACATTCAAATCCTGGCTCTGCCTGTGAGCCCTGAGGCCTTAGTGTCCCCATCTGTGGGGACAAGGTGGGGGTGACAAGCACCCCTAGCTCCCTTGGTTGAGAGGATTTCGGGAGGTGGAGCACATGCAGCATGCACAACAGCAGGAAGAGTGCGCCATGACGGTTGGCTGGTGTTACTACTCTATTCTGGCCTGAAGAGCCTGTCCTTGGCCTGCTCTGCAGGGCAGCGCTGCCTCTGCCCCATGCCTCCGGTAGTTTTGGCCTCTCAGAGTCTGTTCCTTCTGTCCCAAGAGCCCTAGGTGACCCCCCCCAGGAGAGGCAAGGCTCTGGGGGCTGCGTGGCCCTGCCAGCCCTGCAGCCTCAAAGTGGCCTGTACGTTGCTCATCACCAGGTGGCCGTGCCCAGGAAGGGGCTGCCAAGCCCAGTGTGGATGCTGCCCTATGCGTGCCAGCGACCCACACCCCTCACACACCACAACACCAGCCTCTCGGTGAGATGTGGGTTCCTGGGCTCCCTGAGATGCAGCCAGGCCTGCTCCTGTGAGCACTCCCCCACTCTGCCCTGTGGGGACAGGTGGGTGGCAGCTGGAGGGTTGAGGTGAGGCACCCTGCCCACCCTGCCCCTCACCAAGGGCCCCTCCCTGCAGGAGGCTCTGGAGACGCTGGCAGAGGCAGCGGGCTTTGAAGGCAGTGAAGGCCGCTTCCTGGCCTTCTGCAGAGCAGCCTCGGTGCTCAAGGCCCTTCCTAGCCCCATTACAGCCCTGAGCCAGCTGCAGGCGCTGCCCCACTTTGGAGAACACTCCTGCAGGGTCGTCCAGGTACGTGCTGACCACCCTTAGCAGGGTGGGTCGTGAACAAGAGTGGGTGGGTGAGGAGGCCGTGGAGCCTGGTGAGAGCAAGTGGCTCCGGGTTCAGAGCCCAGCTATGGAGGCAGCTCCCACGCCGTGGCAAGACGCCGTGTACACTCAGATTCCTCATATGTAAATTGGGGCCACACCACCTGCCTCAGGGTGGTTGAGAGGACTCAAGGAAGGGAGCTGCCAGGGGCCTGGCAGGCTGGTGGCTGGATGGTTGGCATCAGCCCATACTGCCCAGGATGGTGGAAGAGAACCTGATTATGAGCACCTCTTTTTAAAATACACATTATTTGAGGACCCAAAATGTGGAGTTGTCCTTTTGTACACTTAACCACTGGGAGAATATGTTGTGACAGAACGATACTTTTGATAGTTATGCTTTTCAATAAGTCCTGTTGAATTCATCAGTGTTTGAAAAGCAGTTGTTTACTTATCTGAGGAATGACCTACGATCCCGGGCCTGAGGAGCTTTGAGGCCAGGAGCTTTGCTTGCCTGCCTGGGCACAGCCTCCATTTCCAAGTCCCACTGGATCCCGGTACCACAGAGCCCCCTGCTGAGTGTTGGGGTTCTCCCCTGTCCTTGGCCCCCCAGCTCGGCTCTGTCTCCTCCCACAGGAGCTGCTGGAACATGGAGTGTGTGAGGAGGTGGAGACAGTCCGGCTCTCAGAGAGGTACCAGACCATGAAGGTACGTGCAGGGCAGTTCCCAGGAGGGGCAGACGGCCCACAGTCCACCAGAATGACAGCACAGTTCATGTACTGGAGGCAAGCAGGGGCAGCGGGCCCCGCCCCGGGGTCAGAGAAGGTCTCGCTGAGGAAGTGGCAGCTAAGCTGACACCTGATACGCACAAGGCAGCCAAATGGAGACAGACAAGGAGAAGCCTGTTTTGAGCACAGGGAATTTTCTAGATCACTTAGTACCATCTGTTCTTATTGAAGTATTGATGGAGTATTCTCAAGTTTATTACATGCTCTGGCATCTTAGAGCATACCGAACAAAACGTGGCCTTTTCCTGGGTGTCGGGGACAATTGAGTCTGCGAGACTGCACTGTTTGATGATCTCGCGCACTGATTTCTTGGTGTTGTCCACCTGTGTCCACAGTGCACCTTCCTGCTGTCTCTAATCTGATGTGGAGCCACCCCAGCTCTTGGGGGGGCCCTGACACCTGGTTTTGTGGCTGGAGGTTGTCAGACAGTGACTATCGGGGAAGTGGGGCTTCCCTGGTGGGGTGGGAGGTTGCCCAGAATGTTGTGAGGATCAACAGGGGGCTTCAAAGAGGGAAAGAAGCCACATGTGAAGGACGGAGGGGCTCAGACAGACAGAGAATGGGGCAGGAGCGGGGGAGTGTGGTGGCAACACAGGAGTTAGTGAGTGGGGAAGTGCCCAGAGGGCAGAGCTGCTGCCTCTTCTCTGCGCTGCCTCCTCCCCGGCAGCCCAGAGCCCCAGAGGCCCCTAGGCCGGCAGAGAAGTATGTTAATGGTGAGAAGTCTATTGTTATACACAATATGATTAGGCTATTCTCAACATTTTTCCTGCTGGGATTCTGTTGGTGACAGTGACCCAGCTCATGCTGTTGGTTCAGGGGATCAAGGAAGGATGGCCAGCACAGCCCAGAAAGGGCAAGGCTGCAGCTGGTCTGCAGGGGGCAGGGCTTGGGGACTCAAGTGCCCAGGCGGTTCTTCCTCCTCGGTGCATACTGGCTGCCTCTACCGGTCGAGATATGGCCACAGGAGGTGCCCTGCCACACGTTACAGCCTCTACCACTGCATGGTCCTGACCTTGTTTCAGTTCCAACAATTCCTGAGGAGGGGCTCTGAGTGGCCGGCCTAGGGCAGGTGCCTACCCCTGACCAACGGGCTGTAGGTGGGGAAGAGACAGGTGACTTGCTTGGCCCAGGGTCAGGGCCCACCCTGTGGTGGGGGGACCGGTGTGAAGGCAAGCAGCCACCCCATGAGAGGTCGGCTCCAGCATCATCATTTCCACCGGCCTGGACGTCTGTGCTGACCTGTGGCCGGGCAGTGACACCTGCTGTGTGAGCCTGGAACAGAGCCCCAGCCAGCCCCAGGCTTGTGTTCCCTCCAACTCCTGTTAAAACAACCCTCTGCTTAAGTGCCCATAGTTCTGCTGTTTGTTAATAATGGAGAAGAACCACAGTCGTAAGTTCCAGCTGCTGATGGGTGGAGTGGCATGGTTTTCCCAGAGATTGAGCGACTGTTAGGATGACTGTTTTGGTGGTGTTGGGATCACAGGCTAGAACTGGACAAGTTCTGGGGAGAGACCTTTCCTAGAGGACGGGTCCAAGGCCCAGAGAGGGGGATAGCACGTGGGGTCCTTCCCTGCCATCCCCTGTGAGGGTGGGCTGCATAGGCCAGGCTTGGGGCTTGAATCCTGCCTGTGCACTCTGTGTGGCCTTGGGCACGTTGCTTAAACTCAAAAAGTGCAAGTGGGGATGGCACTTGCTAGGCTGCGTGATGACTTAGTGAGGCTGCTGCTGAAACGCCGCAGTGGTGCTGGCCTAGGACACGCCCTTCACAGGTCAGTGTCGTGTCTGCATCTGGCTGTAGGAGCTCTGCTCCTGACTGTGTTGTGCTCCTCCTCTGAACAGCTCTTCACCCAGATCTTCGGGGTCGGAGTAAAGACTGCGGACCGGTGGTACTGGGAAGGGCTGCGGACCCTGGAGGACCTCCAAGAGCAGCCCCAAAGACTGACGCAGCAGCAGAAAGCAGGTGAGCCCTCTGAGAGAGGGGGCCCTGGGCTTCCCCACAGCATTGGGGCCTGAAGGCTTCCCCCATCACGAAGCCCTTAGTGCTGACGGCTGCCTGTATGGCAGTGAACGGGTCAGTGTGAAGGGATCCCGGTGGCAGGCAGGCATCTTTGTTTGGTGGGTTTCCTGGGGTCTCCACCCAGCTGAACCAGGATCCGTTGCAGACCTTTCTCAGTGAGTGATGATGGTCATAGTAGCTGCTGTGACATTCACGGCCTCCTGGTTAGACTTGGACCTGGACCAGACGTGGGCCTTTTACTCCTGATTCCAGGGAGAGAGGGCATGCCTGGGCCCCGGGCACACTTAGCCACTGTGATGGGCCGCTGGCCCACTGACCGACTGTGTGAAGACCTTTGCGGTAGGAGAGGCTCAGTGAGGGGCCTGCTAGAGGGAGGCTGCAGTGGAAAGAACATGAACTTGAGAGTTTGTTGGGCCTAGGTTTGAGTCCCGTCTCTGCTACTTACTAGGTAGGTGGCCGGCACCCTGACTTACCTTCTCTGAGCCTCAGTTACCTTCTCTGTAAAGCATGGGATTCCGTGAGCTCCTCTGTGTGAGGCCAGTGCGTAGCAGGTGTTGAGTAGATGCTCCATTCTCTCTGTGTGGCCTGGGTTGGAGGCCCTGCTGAAGGAGCCCCACAGCCCAGCACCCACCGCCTCTTTAACCAACTTCCCGGGAGCTGAGGGAGAGGGGGCCACCTGGGGGTCCTAGGGGAGTAGCCTGGCTGGTCAGCGGGAAGTGAGACCTGCAAAGCCATGTGTCCAGTGGAGCGTGACGTGCTAGCACCCGCTAATTCCAATCACCTCTCCCCATGACACGGTCAAGACAGGAATGGCCAGCAGCTCTTACTGAGAGCTGGCTCTGCCAGATGCCATTACTCCCACACTTAAACCTCTCCTAACTGCATGTGGAAGGTACAGTGATTCCTCTGACAGGTGAGAAGATGGACTTGGGCTAAAGTAACATGTTTCTAAGTGGCAGAGGCATCCCCTTCACATCTTTTTATCACCTGGTCCCATTTCATGGATGGGAAAACCGAGGCATTAAAAGGGATAGTGTGTATCTTGATTCTGTCACAGTCACTATCCTGGTGTGATGTATGATAGTTCTGCAAGATGTCACCACCCAGAGGAAGTGGGTACAGGGAGTAGGGGACCTCTGTTATTTCTTTCAACTGTATGTGAATCTATGATTATCTCAAAATAAAAGTTTAGTATTTAAAAGGGAGGTGGGGATCGTGCAGAGATGGATAGAGAGGGCAGGGTGGGGAGGGTCAGGAGAGCTGTGCTGCCCACAGGACTCCAGCACCACCAGGACCTGGGTGCCCTGGTCCAACGGCCCGACGTGGAGGCCCTGCAGCAGGTGGTGGAGGCAGCTGTGGGGCAGGCCCTTCCTGGGGCCACTGTCACGCTGGCCGGCGGCTTCCGGAGGTAAGGGGGCCTGATGTGCCCTCTGGCTTGGCTCCAAGCCCTCCCCAGTGAAGGCACCTGAGCTGGGGATGCAGAGGTGGGCCTTCCGCAGAGGTGGGCCTTCTCTCACTGAAGGGCCTCGGGAGAACATGGGCCCAGGAGTCAGACTGGCCCCCTCAGGGGGAAGTTGCAGGGCCACGACGTGGACTTCCTCATCACCCACCCCCAGGAGGGCCGGGAGGCGGGGCTGCTGCCCAGAGTGATGTGCTGCCTGAAAAAGCAGGTGAGGGGCTTCCCACTCCCCCTCAAGACAGCTGCTAGGAACCCAGCTCCTGCTCTTCCAGCCCCACGTGCCGGTGCCAGGCCACGCCTGCTCTCCCCCTAGGGCCTTGTCCTGTACCACCAGTACAGCCGCCGTGAAGACCCCAGCCACCTGACCCAGCAGAGCCACACGATGGATGCCTTTGAGAGGAGTTTCTGCATTTTCCGCCTACCACAACCCCCAGGGGCTGCTGTCGGGGGCCCCCGGTGGCCCTGCCCTGCCTGGAAGGCTGTGCGGGTGGACCTGGTGGTTGCCCCCATCAGCCAGTTCCCCTTTGCCCTGCTTGGCTGGACTGGCTCCAAGGTAGGGAGTGGGCTGCTGGGGCTGGCCCCGGGGTCTGGGGCCAGTGGCCCTGCTGACGCAGTCGCTTCTCCCCCAGCATTTCGAGCGGGAGCTGCGCCGCTTCAGCTGGAAGGAGAGGGGGCTGCAGCTGAGCAGCCATGGGCTGTTTGATCCAGAGCAGGTGTGTTGCTGGGGTCCAGCCTGGAACCCACAGGGCCCTCCAGTCGCACCTCACCCTGGGGCTAGGCTCTGCCTGCCCTTCCAGCTCCTCCCCATGCCTCTCTCAGGGAAGCCACCATGGTGGTGGGCATGGCTCCCAGGCACTAATGCCCCTACTCGCCTTGTAGAAGACGTTTTTCCATGCGGCTTCAGAGGAAGACATCTTCAGACATCTGGGCCTTGAGTACCTTCCCCCAGAGCAGAGAAATGCCTGATCCTATCCGCTGGCCCCACTTTCACTCTGGAAACACGGGGCTGCTTTGCAAGGCAGACCGTATGGATGCCCTCGGCCACTGAATATCTGCAGACAGAAGATGCACTGCTGCCCCAAGTCCTCACCCCTCCCAAGTGGGAGCCCCACCTGTGTGGACCACCACTCCCTCACCCACACCCAGTCAAAGATGTAATAAAATGAGCACATGGGACGAACCAGGCTCTATTTTCTGAATGTGCTGCTGGTGGGGGTGTCTGGGGAGCGTGGTGCCTGGTTCTGCCCAGAGGTCAGTCCTGCCTGGACGCGTGGCCCCCCATCAGCTGTGGGAGGCTGTGTGACCCTGGGCCAGAGGCCTCAAGCTCCTCCCCTGTACAGTGGGGACCTGAATGGGGCCTTCTTCGCAGGATTGCTGTAGAGCCTGAGTGGTGTATGGCAAGTGCTTTGCACAATGCCTGAGTGGCAGCTTCCAGCCTGGGGCCTTGGAGCCCAGAGGGGTTGGCTGGAGCTCTTGCCAACTAGGAGTCTACAGTGGGGACGCTAAAGGGTGTGCTGCTGCCATCTGGAGGGGGAGAGGGCCCGGGGTAGGGAGTTGGGAGGAAGAGAACTTGCAACGCTGACCAGCCTCCTGCCTAGGTCAGCCAGCCCCTCACCACCCCAACCAGGCCTACCCTCTCTACCTTTGCCCTCTTAAGGTCTGTTCTCAGTCTTTTAAAAATAGGTCATGTGTGTCACTCCTTGCTCAAAGCCCTCCAGCGGTTCCCCACCTCACTCAGTAAATCCAAAGTCCTCACAGTGGCCCCAGGGCCCTAGCATTTCTGGCCCCCACACCAGCCTCCTCTCCTGCACGTTCCCTCTCTCAGGCCCCACTTGTCCCTGCTGCTCTGTGAGCGAATGAGGTGCGTTCCTGCCTTGCTGCTTTCCCAACCGAACCGCCCCAGATACTCACATAGCCAGTGGGTGGCTCACCCTCTCACCGGGGGTGGCTGGCTACTTGGTGTCCTCTCTTCCTCAAATCCCCAGGCACGCTCCAACCTCAGGCCTTTGCCCCCGCCAGACCATCCACTTGAAATTACTCTTCCTACTGTGGGAGATCAAAACTTGGCCACCCTGAAATATGTCTCTTTACCTTGATTATTTTCTCTGATGGACATTTGACCTCCCCCACTAACTGCCTAGAGGAATTTAACTCTGGGTATCGACAGACTGGCAGGGTCCTTGCTAAGCCCATTCTTTTCAAAGTTCTGTTTACCAAATATTTACATTTTTAAAGGTATCTCCCTCTGTGTCCTGAGAAGGGGGGATGACCTTATCTCTGGAAACTCTTATCAGTACGGAAGGAGAGGACTTAAATCTACATACTCTTGATTACTGTGACTTCTGTCTCTCCACCACAATCTCTATAGGTGGCCCTGCAAAGAATTGTCTGACAAACATTTACATTTCCCTCTCCATGTGAATTGTCTTCTTCCCCTCTGAAATCCCAAACCTCCCACCCCCAACGTCCTCCTTTGTCTTTAGCTGAATGAAGATGGTATTTAAGAGAACCGCCGCTATTGTGTTGAGAAACTCAGTTTCCCTGGTTTCTCCCATGTATACATGTTATTAAACTTGGTATTATTTTCTCCTGCTAACCTGTGTTTTAATTATTTGGCCAGCCATAAGAACCTTAAGGGAAAGGGCAGAGGGGGATTCTCCTTCTTCCCCGATACTACTCAAAAGTCTCTTTGTCAAGTGGGGTCTTCCCTGACCACTCACCACATTAAAAAATATTTTTAAAATTAACGTGGTAAAATTGACTCTTGGTGTACAGTTTTATGAGTTTTTACACATGTGTAGACCCATTCACCTCCACCAAAATCAGGATAGCCCCTCATGCTGTCCCACTGTGGTCACATACTCCCCGACCCATAACCCACTCATCTGGTTGTTCTCTGTCCCTATACTTTTGCCTTCTCCAGAATGTCACATAAGTGGAACCAGACTACATGTAACCTTTTGAGCCTGGCCTCTCTCACTCAGCATACTACCTGTGAGAGCCATCCAGGTTGCTGCTAGTCTGCTTTCTTACTGCATATTGTATTGCTGTGTATTTCTTACTGCATATAGCATTCCAGGCCGTGGACAGTCCACAGTTTCTTCATCACCTGCTGAAGAACATTTGAGTTGTTGGGTTGTTGAATAGACCAGCTATAGAGGGACATATACAGGTTTTTGTGTGAACATAGGTTTTCATCTCTCTTGGGTAAATAAGACAGGATTACTGGATTACATGGTAAGTATGTGTTTAACTTTATAAGAAAGTGCCAATTGTCTTCCAGAGTGCATATATCATCTTGCAGTCCTCCAGCAGTGTGAGCCACACGTGTATGTTAACATTTTCCAGGAGCCTGGTGCTCTGTATCCTTGCCAGCACTTGGTGTTTCCACTGTTTGTCTAACTGCTCTAGTAGGTATGCAGCAGGAGCTCACTGTGGCTTTAATTTGCATTTCTCTAATGTCTACAATGTCAAGCATTTTTCATCAGCTTACTTGCCATCTGTATATTCTCTGGTGGAGTGTTTGTTCAAGTTTTTTGCCCCTTTAAAAAAAAATTGAATTGTCTTCTTACTGTTGAATTTTGAAAGTTCTTCATGTATTTTGTGCATAAGTCCTTTGCTAGTTATGTGATTTGTAAATATTTTCTCCCAGTGTATACATTATCTTTTCATTCTCTTACCAGTGTATTTTTCAGAGCATATGTTTTTAATTTTGATGAAGTCTAGTTTACCAGTTTATCAATTTACCAGGTTTTTTTCTCACACTTTTGGGTCATGTCTCTGGCCCCAAGTTACAAACATTTTCTCTGTTTTCTTCTATAGTTTTACAGTTTACATTTAGATTTATGATTCATTTTGAGTTAATTTTTGTTGAAAGTGGGGGGTTTAGGTTGAGGATCATTTATTTGCATATGAATGCCCAATTGTTCTAGCACCATTGGTTGGAAACACTATCCTTTCTCTACTGAATTGCCCTTGAACCTTTGTTAAAAATCAGTTAGCTTTTTTTGTGTGTGGTGCTACTTCTGGGCTCTATTCTGTTCCATTTATCTCTATGTCTGTCCCTTCAAAAAGACTATTTCAACTTGATTAACTTGAATTTTAGAGTAATGCTTAATATCAGGTAGTGTAAGTCCTCTAACTTTGTTCTTTTTTAAATTGTTTTGGCTATTCTATTTCCTTTGACTTTCCATTTAAATTTTTGAGGCAGCTTGTTTGTATCTACAAAATAATCTTTTGGGATTTTGATTGGAATTGCATTGAATCTATAGAACACTTTGGGGAAACTAACATCTTAACTATAATGAATCTTTCAATTCATGAACACAGTATGTCTCTCCATTTATTTTGGTCTTCTTTGATTTCTTTCATTAGCGTTTTGTAGTTTTTCAACATACAGACCCAGCACATTTTGTTAAATTTATATCAAATTATTTCATTCTCTTGGAGCTATTACAAAATTTTGTTTCAGTTTCCAGTTGTTCATTGCTAGCACATAGAAATCAATTGATTTTCATGTGTTGATCTTGTATCCTGAAACCTTACAAATCTCACTTTTAGTTTTAAAAGATTTTTGGTGGATTTCATTCAACTGTCTACATAAACAATCATGTCTGTGAACAGGAAAAATTTCATTTCTCCTTTTCCAATCTGAATGCCTGTTATTTCTCTTTTTTTGCCATATTGCACTGGCAAGGGTTTCCAGTACTATGTTGCATAAAAGTGGTGAGAGTGGATATCTTTGCTTTGTTCCTAATCTTAGGTTTCAATGTTTCACCATTAAGGACGATGTTAGATGTAGGGTTTCCGTAGGTGGCCTTTATCAGATTAAGGAAGTTCATTTTTATTCCTAGTTTTCTGAGAGTTTTTACAATGAATGGGTGTTGAGTTTTGTCAGATGCTTTTTCTGCATCAAGTGATATCATCATGTTAATTTTCCTCTTTAGCTGTTAACATTGGTTGGTTTTTGGAATATTGAACCAGCTTTCCATTCCTGGAATAAATCCATTTGGTCTTGATGTATTATTCTTTTTTATATGTTACTAGGTTTGATTTGCTAGTATTTTGTGGATGATTTTTTTGTCTATGTTCATGAAGGATATTGGTCTCGAGGTTTCTTTTCCTGTACTGTATCTGGTTTTGGTATCAGGTATTGGTGACTTGATAGATTTTGTTGGCAAGTGCTCCCTCCTCTTTTGTTTTCTGGAAGAGATTGCGTAGAATTATTATTTCTTCTTTAAATGTTTGATAGAATTCACCAGTGAAAACTTCTGGGCCTGGAGAGTTCTTTTCGAAAGTTTTTAACCTATGAATTCAATTTCTTTAATAGATACAGGACTATTCAGATTACCTAGTTCTCTTGGATGAGTTTTGGTAGTTTGTGACATTCAAAGAATTGGTCCATTTTATCTAAGTTACTGAATTTATGTATGTAGAGTTGTTCGTAGTATCATATTCTCTTCTTATCCTTTTAACGTCTGTTGTCTGTAACAATGTCCTTCCTTTCATTCCTGATATTGGTAATATCAAATCAATCAATCATTCCCTCTCTCTCTCTCTCATCTGGCTAGAGGCTTAATAATTATATTGATCTTTTCAAACAACTAGCTTTTTGTTTTCATTGATTTTTTTCCCTCTCTGTTGTTAATTTCATTGATTTCTGCTTTTATCTTTATTATTTCCTTTCTTCTGCTTGTGGTGGAAGCTTAGATTGTTGACCTGTCTTCTTTTCTAATTTAAGCATATAATACTCTAAATTTCCCTCTGAGCACTGCTTTAGCTGCCTCCCACAATTTTGATATTTTGTATTTTCCTTTTCATTCAAAATATTTTCTGATTCCCCTTGAGACTTCCTCTTTGACCCATGGATTATTTAGAACAGTGTTGGGTTCAATTTCCAGTGCTGGAAGATTTTCCTGTTAATCTTTCTATTATTGATTTCTAATTTAATTCCATTATGGTCTTTAAAATTCGTCAAGATCTGTTGTAGATTCAGGACATTGTCTATCTTGGTGAATGTTCCATGTGTACCTGAGAAGAATGTGTACTCTGTTAGGTGGAAAGTTTTATAAATGTCAATTATATATAGTTGGTGGACATTGTTGTTTAGTTCTTCTATATTCTTTCTTATTTTCTGTCTACTTGTTCTATTGGTTACTGAGAGAGGAGTCCTGAAGTCTCAAACTATAATTGTAGATGT